TTACAATAAGAACACCATCGATCATCTCTCTTAGGTTTAGAAGATGCACCATCATAAAACTTTGTAAAGGAACTCCTTTGAGAAGAGGCCATACTGCACAAAAAACAGTCAACGAAAAAGGCTCTAAGAAGCCAAAAAATTCGGAAAAAATACCAAACGATGTCCGATCTGAGAAAACAACACAGATCCTGAAAGAGAACAAGGAGACGAGAAGAATGGTGGTGGTCCGGTCCAGAAACACAACTGGACGCGCCTCCACGCGCCGGAGAAAGCAGCTGCGCGTGGGCTTCACTCTCGGACAAAGAGGCGGCGCGTGAGAGCGTGTGGCAAGGCTTCTCCGGCTGAAATTTTTTCGGTGTGGTCGTCCTGTGAGCGCGCACCTGTCTGTGGGTGGTTGCGGTTGAAAAGTCACCGGAAAGGGTTCTAAACGATGAAGACAGAACTGGTTGAAGGCGGTCGGAGGTGTTTGGGTCGTTTGTGGCGGAGGAACGTTGCGTAGAATGATAGAACGAAAAAAAAGAAGGTCAACAGTGGTCCCTTTGGTCCAAAAGGTCTCAGGAAAATTTTTTCCGGTGGCGGCTGATGGCGGCAAGAGGCAAAGAAATTAGGGTTTTGTAAAAAAAAAAAAGACAATAGGCGCGGAAGCAGAGCCCTCAGGATCGAGAGCTCTGATACCAACTTACTGCGATGCTGTTTATGAATATGAACAAAGACAACACACCCAAATACTCGAGGAGGAAGACTTTGCAAAGTTGGAACACAAGGAAAAAAAGAAGTCATGGAGTGAATATGACTTACATGATCGAGAACCCGAGTGGGTAGACGGTTGATCAAGAACGCTGCAGTAAGAATGGCATCTCCCCAATAGCATTTGGGTACATGTGTTTGAAACAGTAAGGCACGAGCAACTTCAAGAAGGTGACGATTTTTTCTTTCAGCAACCCAATTTTGTTGAGGGGTGTCTACACAAGTAAGTTCATGAATCATACCTTGATTTCGTATAAATTGGGAAAAACTGTGATTAACATATTCAGTACCATTATCTGTTCTTAGTCTCTTGATTTTTCTACCAAATTGGGTCTCAACCATTTTATAAAATTGAAAGAACAGATGTGGTACCTCAGACTTTTCATGCATTAAGTAAACCCAAGTTACACGAGTGCAATCATCAATAAAAGAAACAAACCATCTATTTCCAGAAGCATGAGGGACTTTAGAAGGACCCCAAACATCAGAATGAATAAGATCATAAGGTTCAACACTCTTAGTACTACTAGAAGGAAAAGACACACGATGATGTTTAGGAAACTCACAAACATCACAATGAAAAGACTCAACAGGCTTAGATAAAAACAATGACGGAAATAAAGACTTAAGTAAACCAAATGGAGGATGTCCCAAGCACTTATGATGAAGCCAAATCAAAGAATCAGCAGTTGATTGACCATGAGACATCAAGATGTGATCTGTTACTTTATTTGCGGGAGATTGTGACACCAGATAGTACAACCCACCTTGCTCTTTAGCACTACCAATCGTCTTCCCCGTGGCGAGATCCTGAAAAACACAATGGGTAGGGAAGAAGGTTACAGTACAATTCAGATCTTTTGTAATTTTATGAATAGAAAGAAGATTCGTGGAGAGTTTAGGAACATGAAGAGCATCTTTAAGATGTAAGGACTGCTGTAAGTTTATGTCACCAGAACCCGCAACTGATATATGTGAGCCATCAGCTATGGCTATAGTATGAGTTCCAATGGTAGGATGATAAGAAGCAAAGGAGTCAGCACAACAAGTCATCTGATACTAGTGCTTTGGCTTTGACTGGTATGAGCCCCAAAACTCATTTCACTTTATTACTTGTACGATCGATATACTTGCCGTGTTCGCAACAATCAGATTCACATGGAAACTTGGTACATAGAGCACATTTTGTAAAACAAGAGTGGCTGACAAAACAACAAAACCTGAGAAATGAGATGTAACTTGTGAACCATTGGGTAAATTTATAGTTATTGGATCAATTTTTTGAAGGAAAGAAAAAGATGTACTTATAAAACTAAGGGATTTATTGATCTCATGCAATATGAGAGAAGATCTCTCATGTTATAGAGACAATCATGTGTGGGATCCACCCACTTATAGAAAAAAGATAAAAAGATAAAAAGGTAACACGAAAATCGATGTATGTGTAGGAGAGAAAAATACTCTCCTACAACATAAAAGTATATTTTCCCTAAAACTAATGTGATCAGTGGCACCAGTGTCAATAATTCACTGAGTGTGTGTTATACCTGTGAGATTTGTGTCAGTGTGAGAAACGTGTGTAACATTAGCTGCATGGTTGGACCTATGATGCACCAACACTGACACCATTTCAAGGCTTTGGAGGCTTTAATTGGTGATTGCAGGTCGTTGCTTCAAGGCTCCAGTTTGTTCTACTTCTTTTCAAGGCAAAACTAGGGATGTGCAAAATGTCCAAAAGAACCAAACCGATCCATAACAAAACCGCTCCATTTTTAAAAACCGGTTATTTTTAAAAAACGGTTTCATATGAAACTGCATTTTATTTTATAAACTGGTTATTTACCAAACCATAAAAATAATTGGTTATCCATGGTTATCCATAACCAAACTATTTTACAATTAAAGAACAAATAAGTATTATCTTTTATCCTTAGCATTAAGATGTGAAAATTACATAAATATAAATCATTTTTAAATGTGACATTATTAGAAAAGTCTCAAATACTAACAGAATTTATCAAAGAAAAATATTTCGTCGAAAATTTGACAAAAATCATATTACGTAAAAAATAGAGACGAATTTTTTTTTCGTTGAAACTAGAGACGGAACAAGATTTTGTCATAATCACTGACATAATTTTTTTAGGGACAAAATATTTCAGTCAAAATTCTTGATAGAATCTAAATTCCGTCGAAAATTTCAACAGAAACAATTCTGTCAAACTTTTCAACGAAAAATAATTCTGTAAAAAAATTTGACGAAACACATTTCCATCAAAAAATTTGACAGAAAATAATTTCGTCAATTTTTTTTACAAAAATATTTTCGTCCAAATTTTCGACGAAAAATATTTCAAACAAAATTTTCAACAAAACGCATTTACAGCGAAAATTTTGACGAAAAATATTTTCAGCAAAATTTTCAACAAAACGCATTTACAGCGATAAATTTGACAAAAAATATTTACGTAAAAAATTTTGACGAAAAATATTTTCAGAAAAATTTTCAAAACATATTTATAGCACAAATTTTGACCAAAAATATTTACGTAAAAAACTTTGACGAAAAATATTTCAGAATTTTTTTTTGACGAATATATTTCTATAAAAAATTCTGACGAAATTTTTTTTTTTGTCAAAGTTCTTTACGGAATCTAAATTCTCTCAAATTTTTTGACGAAAAACATTTTTGTCAAAATTTTTATCGAAATATTGTTCGTCAACGAAAATTTTTCATAGAAATGTGTTTCGTTGTAAAATTTTGATGGAAAAGTTTTTTATCAAAAAACTTGACGGAAATATTTTGTCGAAAAGCTTAACGAAAATGTTTTCGTCGAAAATTTTTGACGGAATTTGAATTCTGTAAAGAATTTTGATGAAATTATTTTCTGTCAAAAGTTTTCGAAGGAAATGTGTTTCATGGAAAATTTGTATAGAAATTTTTTTCGTCAAAATTTTTGATGAATATGTTTTTTTGTGAGATATTTTGAGGGAAATATTTTGACTAAATTTATATTCCGTAAAAAAATTCGACAAATTATTTTTTGATGGAAATGTTTTCCATAAAAATAATGTGAAACAATTTCTATAAGAATCATTTCGTCCTTAGAGTTCCAAAACAATGAAGATTCTTGCAAGAAATAGTTGGTCAACTACCTATAACCGGGAGAAGCAAACGACTACTTATAGCACAATCCATCAAAAATCGATTTTGAATTTGTTAAAAAACTAGTTTTTAACTTGATAACCGGTTTATGGTTCATAACTGGTTTTGATTTAAAACCGGTTTTGAATCAAAACCGGTTATGAACCATAAACCGGTTTTGAAACCGGTTTCAAATCGGTTTGGATAATAAAAACCGGTTTTTTTTAAAAAAACTGGTTCGGTTTGAAAACCAAACCATTTCAAACTGGTTTAGCTTGGATTTTGCCAAAACCAGTTATGAACCGCTCCATGCACATCGCTCGGCAAAACCAATATTTGGATTGGCTTTAATGGGTGGAGTTTACTTTCATACTAACATCGGATGGAGGTAATCTGTCACCATTCTCTTTTTTTTCTTTTTTTCTGTAAATCTGTTCTCTTTATTTATGTGTCTTCCATCAGATGCTGACGCTTACAAATATTTTAAATTCCAATTAAACACTAATAATGTATAATAGTAGTGTTTCAATAGGTTTTTTTTTTTTTTTAAAAAAAAAAACATTTTTCTTATGATAGGAGTCATCTGCAACCTTAAAATGACCTTATTTTAGAGTTTTTATTCTTTTGTAACGTGAATTTTCCCAAAACTGATAATTTTATCAGCTGTGATAATAATAAACAATAAAGCGTGTTTCCTCCTCCTTATTAGTGTTTAGTCAACAAAAGCATGTGTAACTATTAATTAATAAACCCTTGAGTTCAACTACGGCCTTTGCTGCTTTTTTTTTTTAGTAATCCACACTACTATTATGTGTTTATCCTTTCTGTCTTCATTATTTTAAGTACAAACTTTGATAATAGTTTTGAACTAATATAGTAAGATGACAAAAAAATAAACAAGAGAATTCTATTATGATACATTTACTTACAAAATAATAAATAACTTTAGTGTGATACATAATCAAGGTGCTTAATACTTTGTTCTGCTGATCCATCTACTCTGAAGTTTGATAGCAAATACTAAAAAAGATATATACCTATACCTGATAAATTGCTTCAATATTTCTATCTGCAGTCACATTCTATGACTACCTTAATGATCATTCTGTCAACAAGAAGAAAGCAAATTGTCCAAGTAATCACTCCCCAAGTCCTGAAACACAAAAACATCTACTTCATTTTCTACCACCCCTTCTAAGCTTACCATTTTTTTTGTTGCAGGTTGTTCATTCACCATATCCACAAATTCTTCCCTTCCTCCAGATTTCCTCTTCCGGGTTTTGCAAGAATTTTCTCTGTCCCTAGTGTATGTGCAAGCAGAGCAATTCTCCAAACAAGTTCCACAGGCAAGGCTAGTGAGATCAGTTCCTTTCTGTTCAATTCCTAAATCAAGTGAAACTGTCTCAAGTGGGAAATTAAGACATGCCTTTGGACCTCTAATTCTCAAAGCAGCCTTATCATAAGCTAAAGCTGCTTCTTCAGCTGTTTCAAATGTTCCAAGCCAAACTCTAGCACCTTTCTTAGATGAGTCTCTAATCTCTGCTGCATATTTACCCCATGGCCTTCTCCTTACTCCCCTATAGTGTTTTGCAACTTCCTTATCTACTCTCACAGCATCTTCTATCATTTTATTGGATTTAGTAGCACTACCAATTTCCAAATTGGTATGACCAGAATCTTCTGTATTGCTTGCAGCAGGTAGAACACCATTTAAAATTTCTTCCCAGAAATCAGCTCCCATTGATATCCATCTCCCTAAACTTGGAAGCCTTTTCAGAATTTCCATAGAACCATCTCTTCCATCAGGATTAGGAAGTTCTTCCCAGGAGTTGGGAAATTCTGCTGCATCAACCCTTCTATCATATGCTCTGTCACTATTGATAATTTTAGCCCATACATTCTCAAGAATCCCTTCAGAATCTGCATGAATAGCCATGTTGGCTGTCACATAAGTAAATAATATAGGAGAATGGATTTTATGAGTGAAGTTATATAAAGACTACATTTTTTGACAGCTCAGCTTGGCTTTATTCTGCTAAATGAATGGGAACCTAGTTGGAAACTTGTGCGTTAATCCACAGACCAGATAAGTTCATGGAGGATATGATATGATTTTCAACATTAAGAAAAGTGTTGAAATAATGAGTTTCATTATTTTATTGCATCCCTCTTGACTTGTGTGCTTGTTCAATCATTTGGAACTTATGATTTATGCATTGAATTGGAATATATTCGTCAAACTGAAACATGAAGGAACAGAGAGGCAGAAGGATTTGAAAGCTGGCGACAGTGAACTTGATTGGTTGCTTTTTCTTTGGTTTGGAACAGCTAATTTTATTTGTATTTTTTTCATATCTATGTTGGTGATAAATTGGTGTGCTCAAGATCCAATCTTTTCATGATATGCATTGTAATCGATTTATTTTGATATGTAACGTGGCATTCAATATTGTTTTATGGTCATATTTGTTATTTGATTATTTAATTTATATGAGAAGTTCCTTGAATAGATTTAGAGACTCGTCATCACGGACACGGTGTCCTGATAATGACAGTTAAGTCTTTCACAATTTAATCTATATTGTTTTTAGGAATTATTAATCTTATGTCACCTAATATAAGTATTTTATGTGGGTGAAATAAAATTGTGGGATCCATAATTTTTAAAAAAATATAAAAGTAAAAGAAAAATAGACACAAGATTCCATGAATATGCAATATAAGATAATTATTTTATGTGACATAAGACAACTATTTTCCTTGTTTTTATTGTATGATCACTAAGAATAGGACATTAGGAATCCGAAATCAATACGATGGTCTTATTGAATGGAGATTAAAAGATCTAATTTATTAAAGGGGTTTATACCTCTCATGTGCTGCATTGAAAAATTTCGATTACTGTGTCCAGCCTTTTTTCTTTTTCTTTTTCTTTTTCAAAAAAATTAAATGGGACCCAGAGTAGTTGTTTCTGCTCAGAAGAAAGTTGTTCTCTTTTGAAAGGAGAAGTTGTTTTCCGTTTATTAAATTACATATATATATATATATATATATATATATATATATAGATTATGCATATATTGTTATGATCTAATTTATTAAACCATCAATAGAATATTCTCATTAAGAACATGGTGTAAGAGTTTCTTTTGATCCGAGATTATCATAGTAATTAACAAGTCATTTACTACGATTCCAGAAACCTAATATCATAGGGTGCTAGTTGAATGGATATTGGGTGTGACCAAATACTTGTAAAGGAAAACTTCAAAAACCCCATGATTTTCTTTGAATTACTTATACCCCTCATTTTTTTATCACTTATGCCTATGATTTTTTCTATCCAAAGTCATCATTAATATAGTTAGATAATAAATTAATTTGCCTATTTTATCCTTCTAAGAAGAAGAGAATAGGTTGAAAACAAAAAAGAAAAGAAAAGGTGAAATAAAACCCAATAAGTTGAAAACTTAAAACATTTGTAGAAAAGTCTAAAAATAAAAAATATTAAATATGTCTAAATCAGAAAGAAGAAAATAGATTAAGAATAAAAAAAAATAATAAGACCAAATATGTTAAAAACTTATAACCAAAAAGATTAAAATAAAAAAATGAAGATAATCTAAATCGAAAAGAAGAAAATAGACTAAAGACAAAAAAGAAAAAAAAACAAATAAGACAAAAAAGAAAAAGAAGAAAAAGAAATCGTTGTTGTAAGTTTTTAACATATTTATTTATTTTTTATATTTAGTCTATTTTTTATTTTTTATTTACATATGTTTGGCCTTTTTTCTTCTTCTATTTTTTATTTTTTTACTTTTAGTCTTATATATCATTGTTAAAAGAAATGGAAAAAAATATGACAAAAAAGAAATAATAGAAAAAGAAATCAGTGTTGTAAATTTTCAAAATATTTAGTTTTATTTTTTCTTCTATTTTTTTGTCCTCAATCTAATATAGACAAATAGTGTTATTTTTTCTTCTATTTTTTTTTTTATCTTCAATCTATTTTCTTTTCTTTTATTTAGACTATTTTTATATTTTTAACTTTTAATCTTTTATGTTACTATTATAAGTTTTCAATATATTTGATATTTTTTTTTTCATTTTTTTTGTCTTCTCAGACTATTTTTTTTTTTTAGTCTTTCTATAAATATTGTAAGTTTTTAATATATTTGATTTTATTTCTCTTTTTTTCCTCGATCTACTTTTTTTTTCTAAGAACGGTAAAATAGATAGATTAGTTTAGTTTTTAATGATGTTAAGAATGTGTTTGGATGGAAAAAAAATCATAAGAGTACTGTAAGTGATTAAAAAAAGCATAAGAATATAAGTAGTTCAAAGCAAAATCATAGGAGATTTTTGAACTTTTCCTTAAAATTAATATTGATGAAGTTTGTTCAGAACCTATGTAGTGGGTCCTATTACTCTTCGAGAATGAGCTTTATCCATCATCAAGTAAACTCCTATATAAAAGGATTAAGTTTTACAGAATTACATATAACTCTTGTGACAGTGAAACACTGTTCTCTTTAGCTATTGTTGCACACACACATCTCCTTTAGCTATTTGCTTATTGTTTGTGCATAATAATTTGCCATTACTTGTGCGAGGTGTCAAAATGGGCTGAGCCAGCCCGCAAGGCCCTATATTTGACCGTAACTCATTAGGTCAATCAAATGATGGTAGTTTAATTGGCTCCAAGAACTAAATAGGTGAAAAATTCACGGTGAATTTGTCTAGTCAAGCAAATTATTCAAAGATTTATAATTTTCATTACAATTATTAAATAAAAAATTATTATTTGAATTATATTCTTAGAGTGATTGAATGATCGGTTTACATTTTTCTTTTAATGCCAAAAATGTCATTAATATGGATCATTGGTCATTAATTGTGTCCCGCGCACTAGACGCTAAGAAAGATAACAAATTTTTATTCAATGAGTAGTTACGTAGTTAACGGATGAGATACTGATCTTTAATTGTGTCCCTCGCACTAGACGCTAAGAGGGATAACAAATTAATTAAAGCGCATACAATTGGTTTTAATCCCTTAATAGTTAATATTTTACCTTGCTTGATTAGAGTGCATGCGAGTGACAAGGTTATTAACATTCAACCGTGCTTGTACTGTAGATACTACTAGTTTGAAAGAATATGAAATCTGTAGATACTCGTGCCTATTTGGATTTTTTTTTTAAGTTATAAGTTACTTATAAACATAAGCTAAGCCAACAGGTTTTGAGAAAAGCTCTTATAATGAAAAACTTTTTTTTTAATAATAAAAAAAAAGTTGAAAGTTAAAAGCTCCAAGGAAGAGTTTTTTTAAGCTCTTATATGTTTTTCTTGAATTGTGTGCTTTTTTTAAAAATGAAGAGTGATAAAGATAGAGTAAGATATTTTTCTTGAAATATGTGCATTTAAGTAATTTTTAAGCTAAATTTTTTATGTAATTTCCAAACAGCTTTTAGTTTCTTTTTTTAAGTTTTTTTTTAGCTTTAGTTTATAAGTAACTTCTAGCTTAAAAATAAGAGGATCCAAACAGATTAATTTTATTATTCTCAAAGGAGAAGATTATTCTTTTTACCAAACCTATGTGGATCCAATCACGATCTTATAATAAGAACAAGAAATATTTCTCGATCATTCCTTTTGCCCCCCTTTCTTTTCTTCGAGAATCAGAAAGGTCCTTTTCAATCAAGTTTGAATTTGTTCGTTTGGAATCTGGACTCTTCTATTGCATTTTTATTTACTTCTTATTATTTTATTTTTTTGATTTCTTTTTTCTTTCATCATTTCTTTATATGTAATTCTATATAAGCAGTATAAACTAAAATACTTACACATCACTATTTTAACTCTTAAATAATTAAATTTATGATAAAAATTGAATTATTGAATTGACATTCTAATGAGTAATATCTTCAAGGAGTTGAAACAAATGGATGTCTAATGTTGTGAAAACTTCGTTAGCTGTTATACTTATATATCTCTCAAATATTTATAATTATTCTATATATATACAATACTGTAACAGCTCCTATCTTTTGACATTTTGTAATTCAAGACATTTGATGATGAGGTGAATATATTAATAAAATTATTTTAAATAAATTTATCTATAAAAGTATAAATAAAAATTTATTTACATTTAAAAATTACATTAAATTAAAAAATAAAAACACATTTACTTAAGCAACAATTGCCATTAGCTAGCTGCTATAATTATAACTACCATTAACTACTGTCATCGTTATTGTCATTGATTGTTGCTGCCATCATTTACCATTACCATTGTCATTGATCACCGCTACCAGCCATAATCATCATTAGCCACTTACCATCAATAATTACACAAAATTTAAAAATTTATTTTATAAAGATATAAACTTTTTTTATGTATTTTAATATATTTCATTTAAAATACATATTTTAATTTATTTTAGATTTTAAAATAAGAACTAGTGTATAAATAAATAATTTTTAAACTAATTTAAATTGTTTTTATAAAATTTGATTATAAAAGATATGTTATCTATTTATATTATATCTTATCGTATTGTATATTTAATGTAAATACTTATCACACTACAAAAAAAAAATTCTATTTAGCCACATTCAAACATTGATAAAAAATGTGGCTAACAAACTTTACCACATTTTGATTAAATATGGTTAAAAGTGGTGTTGCAATAATTTAGCCACATTAATTTATTCACTTTGCCATGTTTTGATTGAGTGTGGTAGCCTTTTTTAGCCACAATTATTGTTAATTTAACCACTTTATAAATGTGGTTAAACTGTATAGTTTGCCAGAATAAAAAAATGTGGCTAATTATGTCTGAAATCTTTTTTAACCACATTCATGAATGTGGCTAAATATATGAATTTTTTAATTAAAAATATTTCAAATTTAATAAATATTACATCTATAAAGAAAATAATCTTAAAAATTGCTCAAAAGCAAAATAGAGAATACGATGGAGCATGAACCAAACTCCAAACCCTATATTCAATTTTGGATATGTAAGTATCTTTATTGATACCATTGAAGAATTTATACAAGATACCAAGTATTAAGTTCATATGAGCTAATCAAGTTTTCTACTAATATTACATAAGGGAAATAATTGCCAAATAAAACTATTAAGAAGTTTGCCATTGAATGTCTATACAAAAAATCATCTTCTTTGTTTACTAAAGGAGAAAAATCATCTTCTTTCATGTAGCCATGCACATTCTAGTCCTTTGAAGTGTTATCTACTCTATCACACTTGCACCAAAAAACAAAAAATAGGAGGAAATGGTCATTGTGTTCCTTTTAGAAGATATGCATGAGAGCAAATTACAAAATGCCATCAAGACATGAATTGGAAATGCTGTTTCATATTAAACATTAATAGGAGGAAAGAGAAATATATATTAGTTAAACCATCTTTGTGAAATACTCCAATAGATAGATAATTAAATATTTTTAGCATCGCTTGTCTTCAAAAAAATAAATATATATTTTTAGCATCTTAGTATAGACAGTAAACCATCTTTGTCCTGTTAGAGACATGGTATTTGATAGAGTATTCTAGTGCACTTCTCTCAAATAGAATCTGCAAGTTCCCTAGCTGAAATTGTTGATAGACAAGAGATTTTACTTCTCTTATCGTGATGGATATGATCTTAACTACAGTTAGAAACATGAGAATGTTATGAAATGGTCATTGATTAGCGCAAGATGACAAATGATAGTTAACAAAAAGAGTGAATGATGTAACTCTAGTAGGAGATATACCTGAATGATGTAACATGAAAATGTTATGAAATGACCGTTTGAAGTCCTACACAAGATGAATATAATGGTAAAAAGGGTTTAACAAATGCTTGTACTGACTGGTTTGACGATGTTGTGTGAAAAAGTATTGGTGCTATTGCAGCACCTGATTTGAAGCACTTGACTACTTGTTCTTTCTTTCTTAAGCACTTTTCTATTCATGCTCGACTCTATGATCTAATTAAATAATTCTTCACATTGCCTGTAGGGTGTACTGCAGTATTGACTTGAAAATCATGATGTATGCTAATTGCTAGCGGTGACGTTGGCATAAAGTAGTAGAAGAGAATGTCCATAGTTGTTGTACTTATGTACTTTGCTATAATAACTTAGGATTTTGAGGACCAAAAAAATTATATCTATTACCCAAATTTACACATTAATCTTAATTTGGCAGTGATTACATTCAACTTCAATGAGGATTTGAGAAAGGACTCTGTAAGGAGTGAAACGCTTGAATGAAGAGTATTTAACTATGGATTGACAATGCTACAAAAGGAAAGGGACTATAAATAAAAGGAGGTTGTTGGTCAAAGAAGAAGGAAGAAAGGAAAAGATTTTGCACAGTAATATGGATTGTTAAACTTCATGCAATTGTCATTAACAAACAAATATCTAAAACCTATCAAATATAATCATATTATTACCAGTTGAAAATTATTTATTTAAGCATTGGGAGGAAGAATTATTACCAAAACTGACAGTTATGTTGAAGTACTTGGTAGTTTCAACTATGTGCTTTGAGAGACCATATGAATATGTGATCATCACTAAGACTAGCTTGGCAAGCACAAATAATATATTGTAAGGTAGCTAGAATTGGTCTTTGTTATTTTGTTATGTTGTACATAGTTAAAATTGTTTCCAATGAGTCTTTGTTATTTTGACTTGATTTACTAGATTTTCAATTTCTTTTTCTTTTTCTAAGGACATCAGTTTCATTCGATTCTAATCTATATACACTTCTAGATACTGAATCGTAAAAGTTCATTGATTTTCCATATTTTATTTAGGTTTCATTCTTTTTCTCTTATTATTTCTAGTTATTCTATTCCTTAGAAAAAAAATAGTCAACTACGTTCTTCAATATTAGTTAGTTAACATTAACAGACAAAGGCATACAATAAAAAGTGAGGTAGGCTTATAGCTTAAAACTGCCACAGAAAATAATTGGTCCCGATTGAGAATAGGTCTGGTTCTGCAGTTTAACCAGAATACATGGGAAATGGTAGCACATTTGCTCACTTAAGAATCCAAAATTTGCTGGGAACCCATTAGTAACTCCAATTTAAAAGAGAGGGTGAGAAAATGAAAGAAGTAGCAAGAAAATGAGGCGCATAACCCAAAAATGAGCGCCACTCCAATTTTGGGTTGAAGTGGCGCTTATTAGAGAGAGATGGGATAGTTAATATGAATAGATACAAATGGTATTGGATTTGAAGTGATGGGTAAAATGAGGCGCATAATCGAGGAAGAGAAAGGAAAAGTGGGGATGACGATGAATGCTCAAGCGCAGGGTCGGCGTAGGCGCTTATTAGAGAGAGGGGATAGTTAATATGAATAGATACATATGGTATTGGATTTTAAGTGATGGGTAAAATGAGGCGCATAATCGAGGAAGAGAAAGGAAAAGTGGGGATGACGATGAATGCTCAAGCGCAGGGTCGGCGTAGGCGCTTATTAGAGAGAGGGGATAGTTAATATGAATAGATACATATGGTATTGGATTTTAAGTGATGGGTAAAATGAGGCAAATAATCGAGGAAGAGAAAGGAAAAGTGGGGATGACGATGAATGCTCAAGCGCAGGGTCGGCGTAAGGGTATGGGAATGGGAGTGAAGAAGTGGATGGTGGTATCGAAGAAAGGGCTATCATTACTTGAGGAAGTTGAAGAACACTCCATTATGAGGCGAACTGGGTTGCTGGCGCGTGACCTTAGGGTCCTCAATCCTATGTTGTCTAATCCCTCTTCCATCCTAGGACGTGACAGAGCCATTGTTGTCAACATGGAACACATCAAAGCCATCATCACTGCCAAGGAGATCCTCATGATAAACTCCTCCAACCCTTTGTTTCTTCGTTTCCTTCATGATCTTCTTGCTCATCTTCCTTCTTCTAGCAATGAAACGCCTCACCGTGTACTTGCCTCTCCCTAGTTTCTTTATTTATTGCTTCAAAGTAATAAGATTGATGTTATTTTAATAAATTATAAAAATTTATTTAAAATATAATATTAAATTAAATCATTAAAGAAAGTGCAAATTATATATATATATATATATATATATATATGAGATTTTCATGTGATTTTTACGAACATTATTTCATATGTTAATGAAAATATTGTTTCATGTGATCTTTGTGAATAAGAAATTTTATCTTTTAGTTTGGTTTGGGGGCTTTTTCACCACTATAGCCTTTTTTTAATAATTAATTATCAAATTGACCTTATTTATAAACTATTTCAAAAATTTAACCTCTTCAGAAAACATAACACCAATCTGCCCATGTTTGACCGTTGACCATAAGCCTACCCGGGTACACCCCTCCCTACCAGGTATATTTTAAAATTATTTACCTATCCGAGTACACCCCTCCCTACCCAGTTATATTTCTTAAATTTGGAAAAAGTTTGAATTATTTACCCAGGTAGAGAGGGGTGTACCCGGGTAAATAATCATACCCTTTCGTGCCGATTGATTATTTATATGATTAAGGGTTATAAAGAAGCAGAGAAAATATGGAATATTATGGGAATCTCATTATACAAAAGTCAGTAAAATCAAAGGTGATATTTTCAGCTAAATGTTTGATGGCTTGTTGGGTCAACTTCTCTTTGCAAGAAGACAAACCCTACCTGCGCACACTGAACAAAAGTAATCAGATGGGTTAGTCAAAAATAGCTATAGAAAAGAGGAGGGAAAGTTGGTAGCTTTAGAATCTTTTTTCTAAGCATGAAACAAGAAGGTGCAAGGAGCAAAGTGGCTCAAAGAAATCAAAAATTAAAAGGGGAAGGTTTATCTCTACAAAGCCTAAAGATGCTATATAATCAGAATAAGGGTGCAGGCTTTGGAGCAGAAGATTGTCATGGCTAATGTTACAAAAAAAATTTACTGGATAACAAAGGAAATTCCAACAGAGGATGGGAAGCGTGAAAGGATAGGGAGCATGAATGGAGCATGGGAGAGGACATAGAAAAAGACCCAAGCTTGGTCAACCTTGGCAATAAGCCACGAAGAGGGAGCAGAAGTTATATTTATATAAGGAGGGCGATCGATTTAGAAAAAAAGGGGAGTGATATTTTTATCTAAGGGGAGCCTCACTTTTTATTTGAGTGAAGAAAAACCAAGGGAAGAGGGGAAGAGACCTACCCATTTTTCCATCCTCAACCACCATTAACCTCACAATTCCCTTCATCATGGAAGACAAAAAAAAATGAAAAATTAGAGTTGGAGGAGAAGAGAGAATACAGGGACTGAAAAAAGAAAAGACTCATAGCTCCTTCTTGAACACACCATCATCCTTAGTTTTAATAGTTTCACTATCACTGCAAACCCAAATCACTAGTACTAGAAGCCTCATAACATAGACCAGAACCTCTTCTAAAAATATATGATTATTTATCCGGGTACACTCCTCCCTACCCGGGTAAATAATTTAAACTTTTTTCAGATTCAAGAAATATATCCGGGTAGGGAGGGGTGTACCCGGGTAGGTAAAAAATTTCAAAATATACCCGGGTAGGGAGGGGAGTATCCGGGTAGGCTTTATGGTCAACGGTCAAACAGGGGCAGATTGGTGTTATGTTTTCTGAAGAGGTTAAATTTTTGAAATAATTTATAAATAGGTTCAATTTGGTAATTAATTATTAAAAAAAGGCTATAGTGGTCAAAAAGCCTTGGTTTGGGCCTATAAACTTTAGTTTGCAACTTGGTAGGCGGGTCAGACCAGACCTATAAATCAAACCTTTAATTAATTAATGGGTCAGTATAGGCTCTAAATATTTCATATAGGCATAAGTTATCAAAGTCAAAATCTGGCCAAACTTAACTCATTTACACACCTATTTATAACTTCTCTACAATAAGGAAAGACTTCCATTCTCTCTTGAAATAATAGAATACAAATCTTTCTATATTCAAGATCTATATTCAAGATTTAGATTATCAGCATATGATAAACACTCATTATTAGGGGTGTAAATGGGTCAGGCTAGCCTAGCCCAACCTACAGCCCGACCTACATTAAGCCCGGCCTAGCCCGGCCTTTCAGAAAAGTAGAGTAGGCTTAGGCTTATAAAAAAGCTTTTATAACAAATAGGCCATAGGCCAATTTTGCCAAGCCCGACCTACAGGCTTGTAGGCTGGCCTATTTAATTTATTAAAATAAAATAATAAAATAATATTTATTTTATGTGGCAAAGTACCAATACCAACCCTAATTATTATGTGCACCGCCGCTTCTCACTCTCGGCTTCGTCTTTTACTTTTTGTTGGTTTTATTTTATGAAAGGAAAACTTGTCTAATGTCTCCAAATTTTACATGTTGTTGCAGCTTAATACCATGGAGCAATGGGTACGTTGGTGGATTATGATGTTACTGATGAAGATCTTTCAATAATTCTTGTTTCCCTTGTCTTGATGGTGGTTTAAAGATTTTTAGATGAATGACATTTTCTTGTAGACTTTATTTCAGCATCCAGTAATTGTATTTTTCTTATTTTCTCCATTTCTTTGACTCTATTCCTCTATGATATACATTCTAGAGCTGGGGTATTATGTTGACTCTTTCTTGTTTGTCATTTTTTTCTTATGAGAAGTACTAGAGCATGCATGAATGGAACTTTCATTGCTCTATACAATTATTATTTTTGCATAGTATCTACAAAGGTAGGCCTACAAGGCCTGTAGGCCATGTCAGGCTTTCTTATTTTTAAAAATGGGCCGGACTTGACCTACAAATAAAACCTTTAATAGATCAGTAGGTCAGATAAGCTGATTTTTTTTTTACGTAGGCTTGAGCCAGGAAGACCAAAACCCAGCTCAGTCCATTTACACCCCTACTCATTATGTAATATATGGAAGTTGGGTAGTTTTTTAATTAGTTTATCTCATTACTAAAAAAGACAACATCATCGACGGACAATTTTATACTTAATTTTTCAACGAATTTTGCAACCGACCAAGTATCGTCTTTGATTTCTTGAGAAAATGAATATTTCCACGGACCAATTATGTCCCTTGTATAAAAAGGAGTAAAATAAGTAACACTTGTATGGCAACTAACACTACCAAATTAGCAAATGAAGGGTCAAAGCTTAGCTGAGCCAACAATGAAGGCATAGATAAGAAATTAGATTCTAGAATTATATCTGAACCAATGATAATTTAAGAAAGAAGAACTATCTCATGTGGCGTGCTTGTTATATATTGCATATACTAATTAAAGTAATTAAAAAACGAACTAAACATTTTTTTTTTTTGGTATGCAACGAACTAAACATTTAACTGCCGAAGGATTTATTTAACTGGTATAAAATAAGTAATTGAGTCATGAATATGGATAAACTAAATAATATTAAGAAAAATAAAAAAAAATAGCTGGTTTATTACCAGTTCAATGCTGTAACTCCCACTCTCTGTTGAATTAATTTGATTGCAGGTTGTAACTTCAATGGATTCGTTATGCACACATCAGTTTCGATAGATCTGATCTTGATAAGTTCATTAAAATCTTGATCACATTTACTTTTCTTTTTATAATTTGAAGTTATAGATCCCACTTCATTTACTCTCCATACCAAAATAAATTAGGCGATTTTTCAATAACTAGAGGCTCTCCATTCTACACTGATTATGCTAGTGAATTTGACATTGCATTCAAGGACATGGAAACCAGTCATTGGACCGTTTCACCTCTCATCAGGGATAGCTTTTCTATGGTAAATGCTTTCCACTCCCTTCATTTTATTATTGAAATTTTTTTGTCCCATTTCGATGTTTTATTTCCAAAAATAAAATAAAAATAAAAAATAGCAAATTACGTATACATGTAATATTCTTTTAATACTGTCACACACAAAAATTTGACTAAACAGACGCAAATTATTCATACGGAAGAGTATGTATACCCTCTTAATCTGGACCCGCCACTAAGACTAATACTATGCGCCGGGCATTGAGGCCCAATTCTGGGAGCGCATTTTAGTATCAATGGATAAGTGACGGAGCCGGGCTTTAATTTGAATTCGGACCAAAAAATTATATGTGTATTTATCTTTCGTAATTTTAATTAGTTCATATCATAATATATTTAAATTATATTAAATATAGAGCACCTGAACAGGTAGCACCAAGAAGAGTTATAATTTTATTAAATATTTTTTAATTTTATAAAAAATATTTTATTTTTTTAAACAAGTGAAAATTGAACACATAACCTAATATAACTTAATCAAATCTTTCACCAAAATTATTTAAGTTTTTGATATGACCAAATTATAAATTGTAGCCTAGGTCAAATTATAATTTTAACCCAGGCCAAATTATAATTAATTAAATAATTATATATAATAAATATAATTTATTAAAATTTAGCCAGGGTCATGACCACGTCCAGCTGATACCTGGCTCTGCCACTGCAAGGGAGCACCCAGTGATGAGTATTACGACCTTTCAAAATAAGGCACCTGTGTTTAATAAGACAATTGCCAGCTACGGTCTGTTTTTCTCTCCTAGCGCTAATACGTTGTTATATTAATGCTGGTTTTTTTTTTATACACTGACTCCAGTTACCTCTACGAGTCGGTCCCTGAGTTTTCTCATAATTCTCTTAACTGGTTATGAAACTTGTAGTATGTATTTCTCTAAAGTATTGGGCTTTTATTATTATTTCATCCTTATTGGGCTGAATACCATTATTACTATTTTAAGGCCCTTTATACTCATTGTCAATATCAGCTGCTGTTTCCATTGAGTGTTTTAAGCAACTAATTGAAAACGGTGTCGTTTATCAATAAGAAGGTTTAATAACCTTTGGTGACCAAGCTGTATACAGCATCGTGGCATTTGACTGATACATGAAATATCTGCTATTTCTTTTTCTCTGATACCTTCTTGAAGGTTCTTTCGATTAGGGTTTGTGAGAGAGAGACTTT